TAAAAAAAAAAAAAAAAAAACCTCACTGCGATGGAGTCAACTCATAGTGACCCCTCCTTGGGTTTCCCAAGCACTATCTCTATGGAAGTAGATTGCCCACTTTTCCTTCCAAGAAGTAGCTGGTGGGTTTAAACCACCAGCCTTCTCCTTAGCATTCAAATACCTTAGGCACTAAGTCACCAGAGCTCCCATACCCCATACCTAGCAGGCTGTTAAAGAATCTGACCCCTACCAGGCTGTTCTACAAGCCACAGCTTCCTAAGAAGCATGCTTGACAGCTGGAGCTTTTCTTTTCTTTATTAATTGGACCCTACAGGTACATGTTACCATGGAGATCCTGACAGCATTTCAGATCCACTACCAGTTTGTATCTTTAAATACTTGGAAAGACTCAATATAAAGATATGAGGTTAAGAGTGTCTAGGGCAGTATTTTTCAAACATCAGTGAGTATCTGAAATTGTAGAACTTGTTAAAATGCAGATTTTCATGGCCCACCATTGAGATTCTGACTCAGCAGATCTGAATGAAACCCACGAATCTTTATTCTTAACAAGTAACCCAATAATTCTGATTAAAAAAAAAGTACTCTTTGAAACATGTTGGTTTACAGAACTTCTTTTTAAAGAGTTATAACCTGAAAGTTAGGAAACTTGCTAATTCTGCCTATATATATATATATATATATATATATATACATAGAGAGAGAGAGAGAGAGAGCAACATTTGGCAAGTCCTTTCCACTTTCTAAGGGCTCTGGTGGCACAATGGTTAAAGAACTCAGCTACTAACCAAAAGTTAGCAGTTCATAAACCACCAGGCACTTAGCCAGGAGAAAGATGAGGCAGTTTGCCATTATAAAGATATACAGCCCTGGAAACCCTATGGGGCAGTTCCACTCTGTCCAACAGGATCACTATGAGTCAAAATCGACTGGGTGGCAATATTTTTGCTTTTGTTTTATTTTCTTCCACTTTCTGGACTTGACTTTCCCCATCTGTAGAGTAAGTTTGTTAATTACTTAACCCTTAAATATTCTTCCAATTTTGACATTCTACAATTCAATATTTCCTTCAAAAAAGCCAATTCCTAAACTTCCCTCTTCCACACAGGAACACAACCAACACATCCAGAGATTCAGAGAAATATGAGTAACATAATAGGAATATCCACGCCTTTGGTGGACTTGAGCCTTGATCTGGTCTTCTGTTTTCCATTTTTGTCTGCGTGTATTTTGTATTTGTTTGTGGTGTTTTCATCCCGTATTTCTTCCCCCACCCCCCTTTCTGGTTTGTGTCTGTCTCTCCAAGTCAGTGTACTATTAAGTATAATTTGAAGTAAAAACAAGCAAAACCAATCTCACTGCCATCGAGTCGATCCCAACTCATAGCGAACCCCATTAGGTTTATGAGGCGGTAAACCTTTATGGAAGTATACTGCCCAGTCTTCTTTCCACAAAGTGGCTGGCATGTTTGAACCACCAATGTTCTGGTTAGCAGTCAAATGCCTTAGGCACTATGCCACCAGAGTTCCTTATAATTTGAAGTAGAGGATTTAAATTTGATTGAGTGATACGAATTTCAGCCCAGGATTATAATCCCATTCACTTTTGAAAATTTGTGCATCTTTTAGCCTAGCAAAACACATAATTCAAAGTATGTTTGAGTTTAAAATCTGCATCTGCTAAATTGAAGTGGGCAGGAGCAATTGAATGGCTACTCTGCCAATTAATATTCTAAGGCAAAACACTGAAATACAGTATTGTATTATTATCCATAATTTAAATGAAGTAATGAACTTTAAATGGTATTGTGAGACATCCCAGAACTAAAGCTGTTCTGTAGTCATCTTTGTCTAGTGTATCATCAGGCAAGTGGCCTTGTTCTCAATACCATAGAATATGTATTGTTGTTATTTGCCATCCAGTCAGACCTGACTCATAGCAATCCTTCCTTGGGTTTTCGAGGTAGTATCACTATGGAAGTAGACTGCCCAACCTTCCTTCCGAGGAGTGGGTGGTGGGTTTGAACTGCCAGCCTTATGGTTAGCAGTCAAGTGCCTTAGCCGCTCTGCTACCAGAGCTCCCTAGAATACATATTAGAACAGTACAATTGCCAATGTGTCTTGTGTTTTCACCTTTATAGCAAACACTCATGCATGCAATTACCTATATTAGCCAATTAGTGTTAACTGGTCTATTTACTAGTCAGTTTAATTATTTAAGGCAGTATGAAACCAAAATTCACTAATAATTACTCACAATAACACCTTAAATTTGATGCTTTATAATTTACAAAGACTTTCATATGCATTCTCTCATTTAATTCTCCAAAAACTTGTGAGGATTAACAATCCCCGTTCACAGATGATTTCCTGGAGCAAAGACAAGACACGACCCCCATTCTATTCATTCTAAATCCAGTCTTCTTTACCCATGCCTTTGAATTTGTGAAATAATTCTGTCAACACAGGTTGTGCACTTACTATGTATCAGGCATGTTGC